TAGGGAAGAAAAGGAGTAGGGAATCCAGGAATAGAATTACAGCTAAATTATGCTGTGATACATACTCAACGTCTACTGAATCAGTGAAAGCTGTGTTTGCATACGTGATAGGAGAATTTGGACAGTCTGCAATTGTAAAACTTGATCATTATGAAAACACTCATTTTCTATTTCAGGAGTTTAACTTTGTCCTTTAAAACCTTGAATTTGGGATTATTGTTCACTTTCTTATTAAATATGACTAGAAGATCCTCTTGTGATTTATGATGATGTTCACCAACTACTGCATGATACTGGGCTAAAACCTACACAAACAAAAAATAAATAAATAGTTCAAGTTAACAGGAATTATTTCCACTTCTTTACTTAAACATTCCACACTAAAATGCACACACATTATGTCTCAATTCAATAATATTGAATAATTAAAATCCAGCAAGAAATCTATTAATACTTACAACTCAAAGCTGAAACTGTAAACTTAAGTATGTCCTTAGGTGGTGTTTTGCTGGATTGGGGGAATCTCCAATTTAAAAAAAAAGTCACAGGATAAACTCCTTAATCACGCATTTTTGAATCTTTATATGATTTACTAATTAACCAGTTCACACTCAACTGCATATGACTATATAAAAGTCTGTCTATGTAGGATAGTTTTCTTTTAAATTACCTATTTCACAAACTAAAAGGGGTTTTAAAAATGAAGACTCTACTGTACCTTTTTTCTTAGTTTTTTTATTGAAATTTCATTGTTTGGGGCTTGCTTCAGAACAGCTTTGATAGTTCCCTTCCAGTTGAATTTACCTATAATATTGTTAAAAACATAATGGTATTACATATCTTCTATATTTCTAAGTCATCTTTTCATCACATGTTCTAGCTAAAACTAATCACAGAACCATTGTCCAGTTCCTTTATCCTTGCCTTATTATTGCACCCACAGCAGCATCACCACCCTGGCACAAGGATCAAGCAAGTTGTTCCTCAGGTTAGTTACTGTAATGTGGTGTACAGACCCCATGCTGGCCTGGCAACTAAGAAGTTAATGCAGCAATCACCAGCCAGTGCTGGTTGGCAGCCTCACAGCAGCTGTGAGAATAAAAAAAAAGAGCTGGGAAGCAGAGGGGCAAGCAAGCTGGAGAAGGAAAGTCCTGCTGGAAAGCTGGTGTGAAGCCACCCAGAGAAGGGATGGCCGGATATACAGGCTGTAGAAGCCTACAGAACCTAGGGAGGTAGGAAGTTCAGCACAGCAGGAGGAGTTGCTGAGGCCTGATTCCTCATGCCTGGTTTAAGGAGCCTGAGCTGGAACCCAGTGGAGTGGGTGGGGCTGGGTTCCCTTACCAGTCCCTCAGACTTAAGAGCCAAAAGGAGTTTCCAGATCTGCTGAGGACAGGGACCAGCAAACTCTGCCAAGGATAAAGAAGGAAACCCATAAACCCCAGCAGGACTGAAACTAACACCCTTCATAGCTCAGAATCGGCTTACCATACAAACTCAGGCCATGTCTACACTTGAAATGCTACAGCGGCACAGCTGCAGCACTTCAGTATAGCCATTACTTATGCCAATGGGAGGGGTTCTCCCATCAGCATAAGTAATCCACCTCCCCAAAAGGCAACAGCTAGATTGACAGAAGAATTCTTCCATTGATCTAGTGATGTCTATACTGGAGGTTAGGTTGGCTTAGCTCTCTCTCTCAGGGATGTGGATTTTTCACACCCCTGAGCAACAGTTAAACCCATTTAATTTTCTAGAGCCAACCAGGCCTTAAGCAAGAGATGCTAACTGACTGCCCTGCCAGACGAAGCAGATTCTGTGCAATGCTCCGTCTGACCAAAGTGGGTGCTGTTGCATTAGCACACCAGCTCAGCTACCTTTGCATGAAGGAAGAACAAATGACAAGACACCATCCTGGGAAAGGGAGAAGCTGAGCCCTTAAAATAAATATTATATCCTGCTTTTCACCAGTAGCTCTCAAAGCACTTTTATCTAGTTTATCTCAGCTCCTATGTGACACACAAATAGGAAATTGAGGTGGGTTCCCCCCCCCCTTCCTTTTTTTAAAAACACAGGTGGCAAATTTAACACATAATGCTAACGGCTTCCTAAGTTAATTAGTATTGCTTCTAAATGTGAAAACTATATCCCCAAAATTACATGGGCTCAATAAAAGCTTAATTATACATATCCCGGATGCCAAATACAACTAGCTAAAAATAGAAATAAGGCCAATTTGTGACCCAGCTATCATGTCATGCAAAGGACTAAGCGGGTGCAAGACATGCCACCCCCTCTTACTTCCCTGCACTGGCTACCCATATTGTATGTAGGAACACAAGAGAGAGCAGCCTCTGTGGGGCTGTTGCCCATTCCTAGAAGGTGGGTGGAAGTGGGTGCTGTGGATAGTAGCCAGCAAAGCTGAACAAACCAACCAGGGGAAATAGTCTGCACCAGGTATCAGGTTTGCAGAGATTACTTCCCATGGAGCAAGGTATGAAACAGACTGAGGGCTTGTCTTCAACAACGGGGAGATTGATGCTGTTGCAATCGATGCAGCGGGTGTCGATTTAGCAGGTCTAGTGAAGAGCCGCTAAATCGATGGCGGAGTGCTATCCGGTTGACTATGGTGCTCCCCCAGAAGGGTAAGCTAAGTCGACCAGACAGCATCTCCCAGCTATGCAACACTGTGAAGACAAGCCCTTAGTCACAATCTGGTTCACAGTCTTCTCCTGGGGCAGCCCTTTGCTCAGAGTTTTGCCCCAAATGAATAGCAGCACTTAATGACTGATTTCATAAGCACATAACTATCTTACTAAAATATACACATCTAAACTTCCATTTTAAGTTTGAAGATACCTTTATCTACATCCCCAATTTCTTCAGTTTCCATGGGTGCATCCTCACTTTTTTCAGTTTCTGTGGCTGCAGATGTTTTTATATATTTCATTCTTTTTGTTCTGGTGTAAGGTTCTTCTAGAGAAGGGGAGTGTGTGGGATAAGAGATAAATGAGGAGGAAATATTAAAAAAATTTAAATTACAAAAAAACAAAAAAAAAAAAAAAAACCCCACACATAACTAAAAAGTTTCTATTCTTGGCATTGGAGTTTAGTGTAAGATTTTTCCTGATTTTGAAATTAAAACAAAAAACAAAACAACCCCCCCCCCCCAACTTATGAATTATAGGTGTGGTAAAGATTCTACCAAAGCAGGTTACTGAGTTTCCACAATGCCAAAAAGAAAACAGTCTTCACTAAAAACTGCATGGAATGTGAGCTAGATATATACCTTCTGTATGTTTACGTTTTTGTTTCTTTATATGTGTTGGTTTTTCTTCTTCATTATGATTACCATTTCCATTTATTTCCACCTGAGCTGTATTATTCCTCTCATGCTTTTTCTTCTTCTTCCTTTCTGCATTATTGCTTTTGGAAGTTTCCTCATTTTCATCCTCAGTACCTTCCTTTTCTTTCTTAGGCTTTTTGCCTTTTTTATTTTCTGAGTTCTCTCGTTTGCTTTCTAATTTCACTTCCTTTTTCTCTGTCTTTTTGTTCTTTTGTCTTTCTTCTTTTCGCTCTCTTTTACTCTTTCTCCTCTCAAGTTTATCAGCCATCATTTCGTTTTTTTCTGTAGACAATGGGTTTACTTCACTTTTTACAGGCTGGCTTCCTACTTTCTGCAATGGTTTCTCTAGTTCTTTTTTGCTTGGCCCCTTTTGTTAAAAGAAAATAATATTGTAATAAAAATGTCTTTCACATACTTCATTTGGTAATGCCACCCAGATCTACTGCATTATTCATGGGGGGGAGGAAGAGAAATGTTACGCTCTGAATAAAAAACAAACACACACACACAATCAATTATTGAGGATAGCATTACTTGGTGGAGATAATGCATCTTAGTTGAAGACTAAAGGACATGCCTTACTCTAACTGCCCCATCTGAAATGATAAAATTTACAACACATGCATGCTGGTCATTTGTTATTCACTTAATTTTGTTTTTTGAAGAATGAAGTGGGCATTTGCAATATATATTAGTTTATTCATTATTTTAGACGTTCCAACATGATAAACTTAATTTTTTCATCGCAACAGCAAAATTTCCAGGGAGTGCTGTAAAGCTTAGGCAAGCAGCAGTAGGGAACATCAGAGAAGAACGAGATAAAAGTCTTTTAAAAAATTGTTGAGAGTTGCTGGTTACAACTCCATAAGCAAGACTGAGTTCCATTTTGTACTTAAAGCAGGGGTAGGCAACCTATGGCACGCGTGCCAAAGGCGGCACACAAGCTGATTTTCAGTGGCACTCACACTGCCCGGGTCCTGGCCACCGGTCCGGGGGGCTCTGCATTCTAATTTAAAATTTTAAGTGAAGCTTCTTAATCATTTTAAAAACCTTATTTACTTTACATGCAACAATAGTTTAGTTATATATTCTAGAAAGAGACCCTATAAAAACGTTAAAATGTATTACTGGCACACGAAACCTTAAATTAGAGTGAATAAATGAAGACTCGGCACACCACATCTGAAAGGTTGCTGACCCCTGACTTAACGCATGGATTCACCATTGCGTTTTGTATGAAAACACGAGCACATACTATCCAAACTTACAGCATTTACACTTCGAGTAACAAACTTATTACTACCCTGCAGTGAGGCCACAAAGGGAAAAAAATTATATTATATATATATATAAATATAAATATAAAACTGGGAACAGTAAAAACGTCTTAATCGTACTCTGACAGTAACTGCATGACATCACTACAGGTCAGAGTTAGAGTTGCTTGGTTGTCTTAACGGTGCATTTCTTAATATGTTTGGATCTCTTAAGTGTAACCTTAACTCTGAATTTCCTAGGTTTGGAACACTTGACTGGGGAACAGTTGAAACATACCTATGATGTTTTACCCTTAAATTATTGATATTCTTAACCTTAAATTCATCTTAATGAAGCTGTGCCTCTGGGAACAGAATTAATCAATCTTAAAATGCATTAGATAACATTTATATTTAATAGAAACTATTCTTTTTCAATAGAAAGATCCAATTTTAAAGTTGCACTTATAAAATGAGTTAATAAAACACTCCAGTGGGTGGGTAAATGAAACAATATACATACTTTCCGTTACAATGGAAAAAAGATGTGCAAAAATATTATCGGACACAGATGTCAGATTGGGGTAGTAATGATCAGAAAGTGGAATTTCTGTTCCTTATTAGAAAAAGCAATCTGGGATAAGAAGTTTACGCATACCTTCCTACTACCATGATGCGATCACTGCCTATAGCTTACCTTCAGAGGTTGTTGTGCATACCTCCAGCTATGCTGTATCAGCAATACATTGCACCATAGATTAGAAAAAATTTGGTCTCGTACTCTCCATCTTTTCTTTAGACACCAGAAATGACTCTTCCCTAATATACAGTACTTAGTGTCTCCAATAGGGGTCTTGAAGGTTCTCCACCCTGTTGCCCTATTGTTGTATTCTTACTGAAAGATTTTGTGGCTTTGATTTGACTTACGTTGCTGGTTGCTTCAGAAAAGATATCCCACACCTGGTCCTGCAGAGCACTATTGTCAACATTAAAGCTGTTCACCATCCAATTCTGTGCAGAAAAAGAATAGTAGAAATGAGAAGTGACAGGCATTCAATTTTAACTTTTTAACCATATGTAGGATAAGTATAAAATTAAAGAATTAAAATTAACTGAAGTTTGGTTAAGGAAATGTGTGTGTGTTGTAAAGAAAGGCCATGACTAGCAAGTTAGAAGAAAGGCTTTCAAAATAATGAGTTATAAGGCCAAAAGGAATAAAGTAGGGAGAACGTATGGTTTAAAGAATAACTAATGGGATAAGTGAAAAGGCGGCCTCTGGCTGATAGGGGTGACTGCAGATTATTAAAAACAAAAACAAACAAACAAAACGAAGAATCTATCTTAAAATGAGCCAACACGGCCCTTCCCCAACCCACACACCAGTGTGAACTCAGGTGCAATGAGAAAAAACTGTTGGACAGCAAGGCGGGGAAGAAAGTTGTAAATCTTATCTGGATTAAAACTAGAAATATGGGTAAATTGTCTCCAATTGGTTTTTAGCTGAAGTCAGTAAATGGCAATGACATTTGTTAAAGGGTATAAAAAAAAGTCAACACTAAGGGTTCATTGCTAATACCTGCCTGACTATGCTGGAGCCAACCAATATGGGGTTTGAGCACCCCTGGGTTTAGCCCATTTGTAAGTATCTGGATCAAATACTTATAAATGTTTTGTTACTATTTGGATGAAGCAAACTGCCTGTTACTTAGGCTTTTTAGGCATATTTGGAGCAACTGCATAAAGTACTATTTGGCCTTTGGATTTAATAAAATAATTTATGGTTAAATTGGTGTTTAGTGATTTCCCATATTAATAATTTCAAATTATTTAATAATTCCAACACCATATGGCCACGTACTGATGAAATCTAGGAGTCAGTCAGCTGATACAGTGGTCGGCAGGCTAAAGGTTCATTCTCCCCTTTGTGCTACTGCTCTAATTTATTTTGCATATTACTTGTATCTATTATAATATGCCACATGCCATCCATGCCTCTAACTGAGCACATCAATAGCTGCACAAAATTCTTGTCCAGGTCATGAATTAGTTCCAGGCTTCTTCTGAGTAGAGACTGCCAATTGTGCTAACATCCCTTTAAACCCTGTAATTGTTTATTAAGTGAGGGATAACATTCAGGCTCACTGAAGACATAAAATATTGGACAAGCGAGCACACTCCAAGGTCATTTCCTTAGTTTGTCACAGATTATTAAAATGCAAATAAGTTTCACACATATCTGTTTAGAAAACTGTTGGAGCTGTCTCAGGAAGAGGAAAGTGCAGCAGCAAATTTCTTTTGATATTCTGAAAAATCAGCAGAAGCAGATTTTAAAAAAGGCTTTAATGGTGTGGCCATAAAGGTTTCCTCATTGCAATGTACTATTTCATTTGTTCCAGGAAAGGACTACTGAAGTGACATCGCACTGTTCAAGTTTTTGATCTCTATAGCTTTGGTATATTACGTTGCAAGTTCCCAGGCAATACCATTCACTTCACCTGAAATCACGGATTCCTCAGAAAGCTACTTGAATGTTCACTTCTGCTGTGGTAGCTCAAGTAGTTTCACCACAGCTTCTGTTTCCTGAACCTGAATTCATAGATTCATAGACTCTAGCACTGGAAGGGACCTCGAGAGTGGCCTTGAGAGGTCATCGAGTCCAGTCCCCTGCCCTCATGGCAGGACCAAATACTGTCTAGACCATCCCTGATAGAGATTTATCTAACCTACTCTTAAATATCTCCAGAGATGGAGATTCCACAACCTCCCTAGGCAATTTATTCCAGTGTTTAACCACCCTGACAGTTAGGAACTTTTTCCTAATGTCCAACCTAAACCTCCCTTGCTGCAGTTTAAGCCCATTGCTTCTTGTTCTATCCTTAGAGGCTAAGATGAACAAGTCTTCTCCCACCTCCTTATGACACCCTTTTAGATACCTGAAAACTGCTATCACGTCCCCTCTCAGTCTTCTCTTTTCCAAACTAAACAAACCCAATTCTTTCAGCCTTCCTTCATTGGTCATGTTCTCAAGATCTTTAAGCATTCTTGTTGCTCTTCTCTGGACCCTCTCCAATTTCTCCACATCTTTCTTGAAATGCAGTGCTCAGAAATGGACACAATACTCCAGCTGAGGCCTAACCAGCGCAGAGTAGAGCGGAAGAATGACTTCTCGTGTCTTGCTAACAACACACCTGTTAATGCATCCCAGAATCACGTTTGCTTTTTTTGCAACGGCATCACACTGTTGACTCATATTTAGCTTGTGGTCCACTATACAAATATATGTATTGTCCATTATCAGCCACACAAACTGAGGTATGGAATAGGAAAAACATGCTCACTTATCCCAGACATGTCTGTTATTCTTTATGGATGCTATATAAAATATGTGGAACCTGGCATAGTTGTCTAGTGGCAGCTCAATAAGGTGTTATTTGGAGGAATACAAGTTAGAGCCCTGAACGGCAATGAAGGTTTCTGGAAGGAACAATGTCTAGCAGAAAGATCACTCAATGTTTTGAGGTGTGTTTGGGGATGTGTAAGTTGGCAGAAACAGCAAATGGAGAAATATTAAAGTGTGTAGTTTGAGGGGAGAGACTTACAGAGGGGGAATTTGCACTTGCAGGGCTCCAAACCCAACAAATTCTCCAACATGTCTGACTTATAATAATTTAGATAAAAAACTACATAAACAGAAGGCTTTTCATCCAAAGATCAATGCTCTATAAATATTAAGTAAGTCTCAGGCAGACAGTTATTCTCCCCCACCTGCCAATTATACAGATGTACAGACAGGTTAAGCAACTTGTCTCAGGTAACACAAGTTAGTGGCACATATGAGCGTATAATCCATTAGTCCTAATTTCAAATCCAGTACTTGTCTCGAAAATCATACCTGAAATTTGACCTTTTTTCTTGGAATATTGTCATAGGTGTGCATTTGCTCCAAGATGTTTCTCACTTTGGGGCTAATGTTTGGCTTCTTTATTATTTCATGAATCTTCTGTAAGAAAGAAACCGAATAATTTCTCAAAGGAGCAGAGTTAACTAGCAAAGTCAGATGCAAGATGGGATCAGAAATACAGAATACCTTGAATACATAACATCTGCAAACCATTTAGCGTACAGTCTAGTATTTGCCAGCTTTATATTTAGACAGATTATACAGGCAATTCTGAAAGTGCGATAGTATTACAAAAAGTGCACGAGAAACACCAATTCTTGAGTTTTTGTTTAAAATTCACTGGGAAAAAAAAAATCATAGAAAGTGATTATATGAATCATTTACACACTTTACAGCTAAGCTGAAACACAACTGATGCACTGAGTTTGAAAAATGAAATTCAGAAATAGCCTGGCCAAGGTAAGCTATTCCACTACTTATATACTAAATCTACACACTATATAGTTTATCTTCGTTTTCAGATCATGCACTGGTAAAAGGGGGGGGGGGGAAAATCAGCTCAGCAATGATCTCGAATTTAAAATATCTAAAAGTAGGACAAGTAGCGTAACACCGGAGAACTTTGTTACACTAAAGTTTGGTTATACCCTGTGAGTTGTACTAGAAGAGAATGCCAGCTGGTTGTCTCTTCATAAATCACTCCAGAATTTCACAGTCTTCTAAAAGAAGGGGAGCAGTTGTCTTTGACAAACCTGCACAGTGGGTTTCCAAATTAAAAGCATAACCAATAGACACTGGACAGCTCAAGGGTTTTTCCCCCCAAAGGTTTTGTGCATCTCTCAGGACCACCAGATAAATGGGGAGGCACTATGAAACTATGCTGCTTTTTGGTAACTTAAAAGTAAGTACTTTTTATAATCTAGTGCCCATCTTCACACCACCATCCATAAAAATTCAGGCCCTGTTCTAGCTATTCACTCAAATACACGAATAACTTCAATGATATCTGTAATCCCATTCAAATCAATGGGATTATTTAAATACTTAAAGTTACATACTGGTTTCAGTGCTCTGCAGGATAGTGGCTTTAAGGCTTGTCTACACAAACACTTAGTTTGCAACAAGCTGGGGTGTGACTGTACCCTGCACTAGCCTGCCACACACTAAGTGCCTGTGTGGAGCCTGCTCACAGTTTCTTAGTGTGCTTTGATCTACTCCTATTGCAAAGCAGGGGAGAAGAGAGCATACTAAGGAACTGTTAGTACATGTCAGCAGGGTCCACACAAATACTTAGGCTATGTGATGTCTACATTGTAGAGGGCTGTGGTGCTTCCTCAGAGCACAAAAACAGCAGTGTGGCCACTCTGGGAAGGGAAGCAGCTCAGGCTAGCCGCCTGAGTATATAGCTAGCAGGTCAGGTGTGACTGTACTTGGGTAAAAAGCAACAGAGGGTCCTGTGGCACCTTTAAGGCTAACAGAAGTATTGGGAGCATAAGCTTTCGTGGGTAAGAACCTTCAGACTTGCATCTGAAGAAGTGAGGTTCTTACCCACGAAAGCTTATGCTCCCAGTACTTCTGTTAGTCTCAAAGGTGCCACAGGACCCTCTGTTGTAATTTTAAAGAAAGACACTGGATCCATGGCTATTTACTTTAAAAAATGTTAAATGAACCACACCTTTTTCACTTGTGGCTATGCCTTATTCTGCCTGAGTGACATAGGTACTCCAAATTTCTTCCAAATATCACATCTCTTGTTTAAATGTGTAATATATTGTACTTATTTCCTTGTCATTCACCTAGGGGTTTGCAGCAGCCTCTTAAATTATACAAGAAGAGAAACTTGAACCATGATATCAACTACATTTTATTTTATATTTAGGGAAGTGACTA